ATTTAGCGCGAACATATGCATGGGTATTTGTCCGCAGTCATTATCTGTTCCGAGATGCGAACAGTTTTCCGGGAGTAATGATCGAGGATACTGTGAGCTTCGGGGAACAATTAATATCCAAGGACAAATATACGAGCATACTCTCAGGCGAAATGGAGGCTACTGTGTTCCTTACCCTTCAATTAGTTTTGATAACGTGCGGCTAAAAAGTTTACGAGTACCTTACTGCTTGTGATAGTGTAGTCTCATCGTCCGGTTGAGAGTAATCCCAAGAAGAACTGTTGTCGGTAGTGGTGACTGACGTTTCGCCCATCGCAACTAGTATGCAGAGTCCTGATAGTTCGGGGTTTGTGTGATATTGGGTTATAGAATGGCTCGTCTAGTAATCTGTCGGTATGTGTCAGTTTCCTGTAAATTTTCTTTCGTAATGAGTTGTCGTCCCGGCTTAGCACTTCGCTGTCTAGGAAAGGCAGTTTACCGTCTTCTTCGACTTCTCTGGTAAACTGTATGTCAGTGTTTTGTCCTTTAAGAAGGTGATGGAATGTGTCGATTTCGTCGTGTCATACGGCGGTGAAAGTATCCACAACGTAGCGTAGCCAAAGCGATATCTTTTGTCAGCAAGTCGAAAGGGCGCGTTCCTCGATGTTCTGCATCACATTTTCTGCTACATCACCTGAAACTGGGAGACCCCATAGCTATACCGTGTAACTTGTTTGTGGTGTTTACTGTTGTACTGAAAATAAACTGACGTTAGCCGGAGGTTCAGTAGGTCCATAATGTCCTCTGTCGGTAGCGGCAGAGGGTCGGTAGATCGTGGAATTGCAGTCTAGTGCCAGATGAAGTGGAATACTTGTGAAAAGCGATTTCACATCAAATGATACTGGTTTGTAGTCGTCAGGTATCTGAACAGTCTTGTTGGCGTTAATGAAGTTGTCTGTGGATTACAGTTTACGTCTGGACCTGTCGGGCAGTGGTTGTAGTATTGTCGTCAGGTACTTGGAAAAACGATTTCAGTCTTGTCTAAGGGACGGGAAGAGATATTCGTTACCAAGTTGTCCTCACTTCGTCTCTATTCTTTGTTGCGTAACATAAAGTTCTCTTTTGCGTACCAACAGGACGACTGAACGTGCCTGTACCGGACATCAACAGGAACTGACACGACTGCTTCGCAACAAAAAGCAGAACAGAGACGAAGCAATCCAGGTGCTTACTTAAAATACAGTTCAGTATTTTTTTGTAGAGGAAAAGTAATTAAGGTTGAGATGCGACCATAACGTATACAAGATAAATAACTACATTACTATTTGTGACCTGATCTTCGTACGTCAGTTTCTCGTGATTAAGCCATTTTCACGAAATCACAAGGAAAAATCTTAGGTTCTCGTTTCTTGAGTTTATATCCGGTAGTAAAACAAAGCTGTAAGCTCTGTAAAAATAAATATCCTCTACAAATGCAAACAATTTGACTGAACGGTGCTACATAATGCGGATTTGTTTGGAGCAAATTAACTGAAGTTGCCTTTTTAGGCTATAAACTGAGAATATCTTGAAACAGAAACCTCTGAACTGTTAGGTAAAATTTCGGACGACCGCAAAGCGGTAGCCCGATTGTCAATCACCAGTATAATAACAGACGGACTTGGACGACACGGAGTCTTAATTTGACAAATTTTGAGAAAGAAATTAGACATGGATTATAGGTTTTCATAAAGAAAAAAAAAAAAAACAACAACAACCACAGTTAACTCGGCGAAATGTGAGACAAAAGCGGGCGCTCATGACGCGTTCTGTCCACTGACACAAGCATGACGCTTACACTGTCCTATTAGTGCTTGGGCTGGTGATAACCAATCACGTTTGAAAAAACTATGAAAAATAAAGGATACAACATGCGCGACTCAATACGATGTCTGTGGACAAGAGGAGGTTTCACGGCTTAGTTTGTGTGGCTGAGTGGTTTCATAACCTCCGCGCACTTTGATTTGACATACTTCGCTCGATCATCCAGCGAGTTACGCAAGAATCAACTAACAGACTGCAAATACATTCTATTGTCACCTTTTTTATACGATCTCGTACATTTTACATAAATTATTCTGGTGATGGTGATGGGTGCATCTGGGACTTTACCCCAGTTATCCCGTCATATACCATTCTACCACTACTGATAAAGAACATAATGACCTTACTGAACCTTAGGGCACTTCAAGTTAATTTCAGTACAACAGTGAAGACTACAACCAGTTACATGGCAGTTGTACATGTGATGCAGAAGAGGAACGCGCCCTTTCGACTTGCCGACAAACGATACCACTTTGACTACGCCACGTTGACGATGTATTTACCACCGTTCGACAAGGCGAAAGCAACGCATTCCACCACCACCTTGATGGACTAAACAATTACATACAGTTTACCAGAGAAGTCGTAGGAAATGATAAACTACCTTTCCTAAACTGCCTGGTAAGCCGTGACGACAAATCATTACGGACAACAATTTACAGGAAACCGACACATACCGACAGATTACTGGACGAGTCATCTTACAATCCGATATCACACAAATCCACAACTATCAGGATTCTGCATACTAGTTGCGACGGGCGCAACTAGTACGCAACACAACAGACATCACGCGCATCCGACAACCACTTAATATCCGCGTCGCCCACAAACCCATCACCACACTACGTCAGTTACTGACTGTAATTTCAGTTAACAACAACACGGGGGTATCTTCTATAGAGTCAGTTCTTTACGGCATTAAGTGGGCTCATAGTCTGGCCGGGATAGTAGAATGCTCTACTAGTCACCCTCTTGTTAAGTCATCCTTAGAGGATGCTAGAAGAAAATTTGCACGTCCCGTTCAGCCCAAAGAGCCTTTATCCGTCGACACAGTTTGTAAGATCGCTGATCATTATATTTCTAGTAGTTCTCTCGGTGTTATTCGTTTTCTTTTCATTCTCTTGGTTGGCTTCGATGGGTTTTACCGTATGGGCGAAATTCGTACTTAGTCTGTTAAAGATGTTTCAATTTGCAGTGAATACACGTCAGTTTTCATTCCGAAACACAAGAATGATCAGTGTAGGGTGAGGCATACATCCCTCCTAGCAAGGTATCATAAGGCTACTTGCCCGGTTTCTAGTACCGAGAGGTTACTCAAGCTTCGTCCTTCATCTACTGAGTCATCCTTCCCCCTCGTTAGACGACTTGTTAAATCTAAGTCTAAGGAGTATTTTCATGCTACTAAAGGCGTTTCGTACACGACGCTTAGAGAGGAATTTAAGAAAAAGTTTTAGCCATTTGTAGATGACATCGCTAGTTACGGCACGCATAGTATCAAATCTGGCGCCGCTTCAAATCCTGCGTGTAGGAGTATTTCTGCTGATCTGCTGGACATGCACGCCGACTGGAAATGTGCCATTTCAAAGAACAGAAACATTAAGCACACTGTTAATGATCGCTTAAAAGTTGCTCGATCTATTGCTCTTTAGTTCCGGATTTCGTTTTCTTACGATAAATTATATTATTGAATTAGTAGTCTCGGCGGGGGACTAAGTCGTGCCTGGCCCGCCCAGATTTCCTATCCGTTTTTCCCACAGGGTTTTTTAGGGTAGGTTTTTTCTGGCCCCCTGGCACGGCTTTCTCTAGTTCAAATTTCCAGTTTCTCTTTTTGTAGACGTTGCTAGTATCTGCTTTAATAAAGTGGCGTTACGGCGTTACACTCGGGCCATAATCCAATATTCTCCATGAATTGCTGTTTTTCTGTATATCGTTCTAAAGACTAGGTTAGTGCAGAAAGTACTTTGGAAAGTACAAACGCAGTGTTTCACTTGAAGGCCATAAGATCCTCACGCAGCTTGTTTTTCATTGTTGTCAGACGGCGTATCCTGTCCAGTCCCAGCAAAAATAACCAAAGGTTACCAAACCCATTCTTGTTATCAGTCCAGCTACGGTGCAAAGCAACCGAGCCTTCCAGTCTCTTCTGAAACACTATCCAGCACCCCCTCCCCCCCAACCGGACCGGCTGTTATTTGGTCACAAAAGACGTTAAAAGCACCTGAACCATCAGGGTCGACTGCATAAACACCGCTGCTTGTTTTACCAGATTTTTGAAGCTTAACTCAATTCTTCTTAACTGCTGGAAGAAAAGGTAAATTCATCAACCGTTTCTAAATTGACAGATTTCTGCAAGAGCCTGTCCACGAGCCAACTTAAACCTTTGCAGGTAACATGACAAGCATCTTGATCTTGCAATTAACGGAAAAACAAAAGAAAACTTTTTGGAATTATGAAAAATAATAATTTCAGTAGAGTTGTCTTGAGTTTCAGCAAGCGTCTTGTTTCTTTGATAGCAGCAATGTCGTTTTGGATTTCTGGACGTTTCTTTTACATTTCTCTGAGGAGAGTTTTTGCGAATTCATTGGAAATATAAACTGTAAGTCATGATCAAAAAAGATTAAAATCCATAGGCTTTCCACTATTATCTAAGCAGCAGTTCCAAACAAATGGAAAGGAAAAAAATGATAATCGATTGTGTGGCTATACCTCGCGATATAGTGTTGTTTCTTTCATTGATGATGCCGATGTCGTTTTGAACATATGGAAGCTGTTTCTTCATTTTCTGAAGAATTGTTTCGATCTTCTTGCTCGCCGTGCCTAAGGGGAGGCTGTTGTAGACGCTATTATAATGCTTTGTGGGCGAGGAACTGACTGGAGTGCCATCAGCACCGTTTCCTGCTTAGCAGATGTTTGACTCATTACAAGAAAACCGCAGCAAAAATCGGACAAAAATAAAGTCATCGTACTTGTTTTTTATTCTGGCCGCGGCTTAACTATAGATAACTTGAGGCCATTATGGACTGGTGAAAACGCTGATGTAAACCATTTTGACACAACCTGTTGTGTGTGTCATTGAAATAACTGCGAAAATTTTTTTCTTGTTATACCACTCCACGCGCCCATTAACGTTACTGATTTCAGTGACTGAAAAATTCTCTCGTCTTCGACTTGAAAGGAAAGATTTTTACCAAGTAATTAGCAGATTGAAATGTTAGAATATTGAAAGTACACTTTTGGTCTGAATAGTGGCTAGAAATGGATCTGTTTTCTATTATTTATCTCGTGCGTCGTTTGAAAGCCATGCTCCTTCTGAGGCCTTCATTCTGCACGAAGAAGTCAAAGCTGAGGGTCAGAATGAAGGTTGTTTCATTGTAGCTATCGGAATATCGAAAAGTTGTCTAAGTGCCATAATGAATGAAAATCGTAGCCCTTACTAACTTGCCAAACTAACTTAAAACACACATCCTTTCGTTTATGATTTCCCTATCGTTATTAAATCTCCACTTTAAAGAGAGGAGTAATTTTTCATATCATTCATATATTATTCATCTGACTGTGTCGGTCTTTGTCTCTAAGCCTAGCGGCATGCCAGGATCAATTCACAGCCAGTTCTATCCAGCAATGCGAAATGCCAAAAACATTCAAACTGTCGAATGTGGTATGCACCAAACGAAATTTTTCAACAAATTTCCTAGCCTTTAATACTCAGCTTAGACTTAATTTGAATTACATATCTTCCTGTTGTCTATCATGAATTGTTATCGGCTACATTAAATTGTTATCGCCTATTCGCATACAGGTATTTAATCCACATAACGTTGTGTACTGATTCAGCCGATGGCTCAGTCAGTAATTTATTCTCTTATAAGTTAGACGCTGATGGATCAAAACGGAGATTAATTTACCTTGCCGGACAGAGTGACAAATATTGAGAGCGTTATATCGTATTGACCCATTGCGATCATTTTCTTTTGAATAAAATGAAGTCTCTCCGCTAAATCAATATGGACAAATATGACCCGCTCATTCTCGTGATTTTTTGCTTTACAATACACATTGAATCGTTTTCATTGTTGCGATAACTCCGTTTTAGTGAATTTTGGTTAATAAAAAAGTAATTTACAATAAACAACGTTGAACTGGAAACAAAATAGAACGTTCTAAAATGAAACTGATCTAATTTTCATCTCAGCTCTCTTGACAGAGTAGTAATATCCCTTCCAGTAGTAATATTCCTTTGAATATTTCATGTCTCTCTCGATCCATTATGTAAATGAGCTTCTACTCCACTAACGCTAGTTTCTTCTTGATTAGTATTACTTACGTGTTGCCATGCGTATAATTTTTATACATCCGTTCATCTGGGGGGATGATGGTGTAGCTCTGAGATGTTTAGTCGAAAACCTTGAACACTTCGTGGTATTGCTGTGGAGGCTAACTCTGGAATTGCGGTCTCTTGTATAGTTGCTGCAAATAAAAGAGGACGGTGCCCTACCCAGTCTTCACTCTGGTGGTCATCTTTGTTAAACCGTTGGTCATTTTCGGTTATCACATTGAAATCGTTGTGTTCAATTGAATAAATATCTAAATTGATATCTAAATTCTCTCAAACAATTTTTTTGTTGTGAAACGGTGGGCAAAGTTTCAGTCTTCTAAAAACATGACAAATACTCTCTGGGGAAGTCTTTGCAAGTCAGTTCATTTGACCCTTTGTGTGGTAACTGCACGACAAAAACTGAATTAATTTAAGGAGAAAGATCCCGCATTAAATTCTCCATGGGTCTAGTTAACGTGCCTCATTCGATTTTAGTGTTTTTGTGCAAAAATGCCTGATTTACACGCGCCATGGCAGCAAACAAACGAGCAAACTCCCACAACTTCAAAACTTATCGTTGTATTAACCTACAATAACTTTCTTTGCCATTTACTGTCTGAGCAGAGGTACTCTTCGTACACTTTTCATCAATGGCAGTAAATAATAATTTCCGTAAGATCACTGAATGTTTTTGAAAGAAAAATTGTCGTGACAGTCTTTAAACTTGAGTTTGTTTGCCAAACCAGTATTATTGTTTGTCTGAATTTTTTTCTCACGCGCTCTCTAATTGAGATGTGTCAGATTGTGACAGATGCTTGTTAAAAAGGAAATGTTTCAAAGTTTTGAAATCACCCTTATCTGCTTCATAAATAAATATTTTTCGGTGAAGCCTTTCTCCTTAGTTTGCATCACCTCTCTTTCTACTATCATTTACTTACTCAAAAATTGTTCGGTTTAGAGAGGATCTTGCCGTTATTACAGCCTAACGATCATTCGGGTTCTTTTCGTAAGTATTTCGTTCAGTTTTAGAAAAATATAAAAATGCTATTCACCAGTCTAGATCGGTCCGTATTGCAAAAAAACGTGCCCTCTGTCTTGAGTGCCACAAGACTTCAGGCACAGTTTTTCCCTATACGGACCTCCCAGCTGGCGAACAACAGTCATTTATTAATCACTTCATGGGTTTGTTGGGAACCAAATTAACGACAAGCTCCCAGTTCGCTTGTTAGCTCAGTTGGTAGAGCATTGCATCGGTATCGCAGAGGTCATGGGTTCAAATCCCGTGCAATTTTTTTAGGCCCTATTTTCACTACTGCTTGAGTAGAGTTCATTAGCGCAAAGATCGCTTTCATATTCACGATGTCAACATTACAATCGCTTTCGGCGTGAAGATGTTAATTCAGTTATAACGTTTTTAACATTGAAGCAGCCAATCCCAGGAGTTTATTTTCAATTATCTTCTTTATCAAGACAGAAAATTTGTCACCAGTTTTATGGAGAGTTTCTTTGAACTCCATGCTTATTGAGATCGATTCCTTGATTAAATATGAGGTAAACGTGAAAAAGTCGCCATTTTGAAATCCGTGTTCGTTCTCGTCAACTCCTCGAATAAATAAGTCATTCGAAGTTTTTCTTTGTAAGGCAATAAAACCGACGGAACAAAAGCTTGGTTGGGAAAATAACCCTCATAACCCTTTATCATTTTATCTGCTTTAAGTGCATATCAGCCAAGTGGAAACCCCGAATATTGAAAACTAACTGCTGGGCGATAATGATCGAGGTGCAAAGTTCCCGCCAAAACAACTTGGCTCCTCTGTAAAATCTGCAAAAAGCATCATTCTATATTTTTATTTATAATAAAGTTCGGATATAACGCGCGCTGTCATTGGTTGAAAGAGCGTGCTCTATGAGAGTATAGAGCATAGAACTGAGCTAAAGCTGTCACGCCATCTGCCAAATTGTACTATGTTCGACCTTTTCCGGGACTTCTTTTTAGCTTTTTTCCGATAATTGAAAGTGAAATTTCGGAACAAGCCAGCCGGCAAGTGGTAACAGAAGAACCAAAGAAAGGTTTGTAAACATACCAGGCGCCGTTATTTACGTTATTAAAACGTGGGCAGATACGAAAATCCTCAAAGGAAAAACAAAATAGACATTCCGAGTTTAAAAGATTTTCACGCTCAGTTAGATTGCATGCTTACGTACGATAATGAAAATCAAACACAGCCAACACTCGTATAGTATATAAAGTTCAGAGTTCAAAAACAAAACAAAACAAAACAGAAATGATGAAAAATATAACCAAACTGGCATAACTGTTAAAATTCATGCTAATCATGACGGTGTCTGAGCAAATATGATCATGCTGAAGTCCATCGTGGCTCGCTCATCATGGCGATCTCCGGTCATCACAGTAAAGCAAGCCTCAGAAACTACATCGGCCGCCCTTCGAGTGAAGAAATAAGAGCTCGCTCTGATATCCTTTCCAATGTGTTGAGTGGAAAGTCACTTCAGTCACTGCAGCCGAGTTTTGCGGCGCTGTCATCCTGAGCGATCTTCATGTTCCAGTGAATTCAGCTGTTGTTCATTTAAAAAACACTCGCCTTGAACAGTTTGTTTTCTACCTTGTCATGTGAAAAAACCCGCGTGTTTTTATGAGCCATAATTCGACTGAAGTTCACTGAACATTTCACTTCAAGATTCTGAATTAAAAACTTCAGGCAAAAGCGTTAAATTCGACCTGCCGAATTATTTTAGTTTGTAAAACTATCACAGAGTGTGAACTTTGATGGTTTTTGAACTTTGATGGTTTGACACTTTTGACAGCTTTTGTCTTCTACAGCCAATCAGATTATTTGAACCATTCTAACAGGGATTCTGATTGGCTTATTGTAGCGTGCTCTATGAGAGTATAGAGCATGCTGACGACACTGTTCTTCGCTTTGGAAATAAAGTTTGTTTTGAAAATTGAAAGTAATACATGGGGAATTTAACGGATTCTTTATTATAAAACAAATAGAGAAGCCTTGACTGTGCTCTGTTCTGTTATAAAGCACTTAGGAAGCGGCTAGAGCACTCAAGAAGTGGGAAGAAACACTCGACTACGTCTCGTGTTTCTCCCTACACTTCTTTCGTGCTCTAGCCGCTTCCTGCGTGCTTTATAACAGAACAGAGCACAGTCAAGGCTTCTCTATTTGTTAATTAATTATGATTATTTTTTCATTTAAAAGAATAAAGGAACTCATAGAGATGAAAAGTTGCATTTGGTGTCTCAAAATTATTCATAAGTCTGGCTAGTTTAAATGCCTTATGACGCACGATAAGTTTTTTCATTGACATGTTTTTTTTTTCGGTCATAAATTTTAAACTTGGGTAGTAATTATGGAGATGTGTCTATTGCAGTTGCGGCCAAACCTTGAGAACCATTCTCACACACTCTTCCATGTTTAATGGACATCAATGGAAGCTTAAATGGTCTCTAAGCGTGGCCTCATGCAGTGTCAACTAGGTTGAAATATAGCTGCAAGGTATACTATTGGATCTCGAAAAAGATCTACATTGTGACACCTGTTTCCTTTATGTTTATTCCGACGTGAGAAAGTTGAATATATTCACTTTTTGTCTGGTCTGCTGTGGCAAGCAAAAGACTTGAGGTGGGTCGTATGACCTTTTTTCATCATGACTTTTATTATTTATTAATTTTTATATTTTAAAATACTTTATTCTCGCGAAAACTCACCAAAGCTGCCTCTAAGTGCCAAAACGCATCAAGATTCACCAATTTGAGTGATCAGTGGAAAACTTGACATATCTTCAAATGAAGAACATCTTAAGCTTTTGCAAGACTCACTTAAATTATCCCGTGGGAAATGACATGCGTCAAAAATATAAAATTTGAAAAAATCAACAACCATCATAAAAATATAACAAGGTAAGAGAATGAGATTTCTTTTACGTTTTTCCCTTCAGTTTTTCCTGAAAAACTATCATCTGCTGTTTTCATGAGGCTTTATTCAGACCTTCAATTTACATTTTGGTCAGGTTTCGTGAGCATCGGTTGCGTAGGTAACAAGATATGACATTTTGCACGAGACAACTTATAAGCCATCTGGTTGCAATTTTTGTTCATTGCATTTTCTTGGTCACGAAACATAGACTTTCTGAAATGAGGTCTTATGCTTCTATTCTTTTAAGTTTTTTGGACCAGTAAGAGAAAATAATGAGATCATTTTCGCTCGGTTAATAGAAATTGCCGCTGTTATCACGGCCTCATTAAAATTGACTCATATGCCAAAATGAATACAATAATAATAGTGATAATAATAATTATAATAATAATAAAAATAATGATGGTGATAGCTATCATTATGGTGACATGAAAATAATGATAACAAGTCTGATAATAGTAATAATGATAAAGCCACATCCTCAAAAGCAGGTTTAACCCTCTCCCTCGCCTATCATTTTGCACTTCGGCTCATTTTCCCAATGGAAGTTTGGTAATAACTTGACAATTAATCTGTTGATGAAGAGAAAAGTTTCCATCACCCACTGCCCGCTTTGGTTTTAAAAAAAAGACGTTTTGCCCTATGCCATAGCAAAAAAACGATTTTACATTTAGGTAACTTTTGTACGAAGAAGTGGACGAACATCCCATGACCAGAATGCTAAACACACATTGGCTTGGAAATGCTGGCAACTTCTTCATGCTGTTACTTGTTACCAGTGCTATAAGCAGCCTTTCAACCAAGGAAATGAGGAACAGATGCAATAGTAAAACTGGTTAGTAGCAACTGCATTTTTGTTTACAAATCTAAAGTTGCACACTTGATCCAGAAATCAAGTCCTTGTAATGAAGTTTTTGATTGAGTCATCGTTATTATTGTTTTAGGTTACCTCGAGGACCACGCATTTAATTTTTTTTTAACTTTTCCGTCTAGTGATACCTGAAATGGATATTTTCTCAAGTCCGCCAAACCGCACATTAAGAATAGGTGCAGATATTAACTTGGCTTGCATAGCGTGGCCAAGTTATAAAGACCAGCTACATCCAAGGAGATGGACCAAGTATATTCAGTGGTATGATCCTCAGGGTAGACCAGTTGAAGCCAAATGCCTGCAGGGTACATTAATGCTCAAGAGATTGACTACGGAACAGTTTGGAAACTACACTTGTGAGGCTCAGAATGATTATGAGGGATACTGCACGCAAAAAGTTGTCGAAATTGAGCTGCAAAGTAGGCAAAACATATAAAGTAATCACCTCGAGAAGCAATAAAGTAATTGATGACATGAGTTAGATTGTATAATAGGGTATTGTTTGTGAGCACACATTTGCTTAGAAATTTCATGATAAAGTAAATTGGCAAATGCGGTGCCAGCATAAAGCTCATTCTAATTTTCCGATTTTTAATCATACCGCCTGGCCAAAATCAAAGTTTGGCAAATCACCGATAATTAGAAGACGAAGAAATTTTATTTTCGAAACAGCATTAAACCTGATGAGTAATACGGAGTGATTCATTGCTTACTGAACCCACGAGTCATCTCATTTCCTGCTCTAAAGACTTTCATCTATTTTTTACTCTAATTCGCTCTAATCGTCTTTACAATAGCGATTTAACTGAAAATAAAGCAACATTTTCCCAAATGGTACCTACCCTCCTGGGATTTTTTTTTTCACTTTCTCACAACCCCGCTATCTAAATCAGCTTTCTTGGAAATATTTTAAGTTAAAAATAATACTAAGGTAAAGTGGAAAACGCAGTGACAAGTGGTTTGCCCACTGAATTGTGCGTACTAAAAAATTGCCGTGTATTGGTATTTATATTCCATGGACTAGCTCCATATCTAAGAGAAGTTGCTTTAGTTGATAAGTAACATGGATAAAAAAAAGTCAGAAGCATGAGCAAAATTGATTGAACATGATAGAACTTCTATAAGGCGTGGATTTACTATTTCAAGATGTCTTTATCGTGACGAAGCTCTCTTTATCCCTTTAGCGTTTTCTTAATTACTTACCTTCCCCGCTTTACTTGATCTTTACTCACTGACGGCTTCTCAAATTTAACTTTCTTTCTTCATATAAAATATCCATCGTCATCTGAAATTGCCGGTGTAAGCTTCCCTGGCACCAGAGATTGTTGAGGATCCTAAGAACCAAACTGTTGACGCTGGTTTCAACGCAACCTTTGACTGCGCCGCCAAAGGTCATCCCATGCCGTCTATCACATGGATAGAGAACGATGACGCACTTGCTGTACAATCTTACAACCGAATTAGAGTACCTGAGATTTTCCTCGACGACGAGAAAATCCATAGCCAGCTGGTAATAAAGGGTGTAAAGAGGGAAGATAATGGAAAATATTACTGCTTTGCAAATAACAGTGCGGGAGAAAAAGCATCAAAGCCGGCATTCTTGTCCACAAAAGATCTAGGTGAGACATATGCTCAATGTTTCTTACCTTGGCATTAAATTTTGTTATGAAACGATCATTTCTTCTGAGAAGGCGATGAAAGTACTTGAAAGAAATGCTTTCAAAAGTCACTTACAGAAAAATGTTTTGATCAGTTCACTTGAATACTGGACATATGTATCGCAAAGAGCAGCGCTGAGGAAATAGCTTCCAAATCTCACGTTCCTGTTCATAAAAAGTTAGATGAGGTTGCATGTTGATACTACGCTTTGCATTCATTTTCCTTGAGGGTCAATCGTGTAGCAGAACTCAGTAGGAGATTTTTCTCTATCTAAATTGAAGAAAAACATCATTTTTGCAGACTGAGCAATTAAATGAAAGTTGAAATTTAATATTTCCTTGCTTTATGCAAATCCTAGCAAGCGGATAATCAGGTTTCAGTTTCTCACGCTATGAGACGAAACGATCAGCAGCACCATATAATGCGCTTGATAATTCCATGCAATGTTCAATCTCACTGTTATTTCATTGTTCTTCATATTTCAACGAGCTTCTTCAAATACAGCCCCGCCAATAAAGGAACAACAACGGTCTGTTCCCCTGGTTACTGCACTTGGTGTGTGTGGTAGCGTAATAATTGCATTCATGAGCGGATGCTTTATGGCGTTTTTGTATCGACGTGCAAGAAGAGATCATGAGGTAAATCTTATTTAGTGCAATCGAACTTCATAGCAACTAAAATTTAACTTGATCAAAACTTAAACTTGATCAAAACTTTAAATTGTGGCCTGCATAGACAACAAAGATTTGGCTGAGGTGATACTGAAAGATATGAATGCTGACACGGAAGAAAGGGAGCTTTTAGAGGCAAATGCTATCTCTTCGTTGTTAGTTGGTAAAAATAAGAATAACAATGTGCAGCTAAACAGTAAAAAGCATACCCATGACGACTGGAGAGTTGACTCGATACCGAGAGTATCGTCCGAGGAAAGAAGGACTCCGACTCCACTAGATGTCGGAGATAAACATTTCCTAAATTCCATCTCTGATCAAAAAGGCTATGCAGAAGAGTTGTTTAATTCACGAAATGGTCACCAAGGTGCCGAAGACGGCTGTGGTCACTGTGATGTCAACATTATTTCGTATCAAGACAGTGGGATGGATAGTGACAAAGATAGCGACGAAATACAAACATCCCTCTTCACTGAGATAGCGGAGAGCGAAAAAGACCGAGGTACTCTCGAAGTACTCGATGAGGTACTAGGTGAAGGAGAATATGGAATCGTTTACAAAGGTCACTATGGTGGAAGGAATGGTAGCATTACTGATTTTGCAATAAAGAAGTTGAAAGGTATGCATAGGGGTCTTTTTCTATTGGCTTTAATCTTTTCTCAGTTATTGTTTTCTTAGCAGTGTGGGCGGATCAGCAAATAAAATTCGATTATACGTATTTTTGGGACTATTGTATGTTACCCCATTGCAATCTGAATTCTTTAACGTAATATTTGTAGCAAGGTGTTTAGACTGGCAGGGTATTCGCAGTATTCTTCGTTTTCTTTGAATTCTACGTACAACACAACTTAACCAACTTATGAATAATTATCACCTTTGTTTATTATTTTATTTTAGGTAATGCATGCACACTTGCGAAAGCCGCTTTGCTGAATGAGTCAAGAACGTTGAAACAGGCTGGACGACATCCCAACATTGTCAACCTAATTGGAACATGGGTTCAAGGAGGTGAGACTTATTTCGACTATCCAAATAACATTCTTGCTAGTCTACGCAAAAAATATGTATTTATTCATGTAATGAAGTTTACAGGGCAAGATAATCAGGGTGGAAGAAAACTCGATCTTGCAGAGATTCTAAAGATGAACATCTCCAAAGAACTTTACACTGTGAAAATTATCGAAGAGGTGAACGGTCAAAAGGATATCTTGGTCAATTTTCAGAATTATGCAAATGAGCTTTTAGACGAGCGCAATTCAGCAAACACATGGATTTACGGTGTTTTCAAGGTGTTAGTGGATGAAAGTTAGAGAGATGCCTGCGGGTTTGAGACAATCTGCGACTTCATTGGAGTATATGCTATGCACTGATATGCTTTTTTGACCCGATTTACGCCTGCATTTTGAGGATTATTTCTTACAAATCGGTAAATTTTTTGATATGCAAATATTCGGTCGAAAGGTCGAAGAGGTTTCCTCAGGTAACGCTGTAATGGAAAATATTTCAGGTGAAGTTTCCGTCTTTTGTCTGTACATTGACTGAATACATCACATAATTTGTAGCGAGAGCGAATTCCGTGAGCTGTATTAATGCAGTCGCTTCGCGCTGAAGAAAATCAGTGAAATTTACACTTTTGATCGCTGTCCACACGGGTGGTCTGGCCAAAATCAATTTTAACTTGTGACCACGCAAAAAGGGAATAGGAGAACAAATAAACTACTTTTGAAACATGTGTCCTAAACCCTTTTCATGGGTAAGTAGTGAAGGTAAACTTTTTTCCGACGGGAAGTCGAGAGGACCGCTCTCAGCGAGAGCGGTACTTAAAATTGCAAACTCATTCTTTTTGTCTTTATCTAATCTACCAAAGGTATATGGTAACTTTTGCAAAAATGATGCCGCCAACCCACAGTATTCCCTAACGTGCATGCTGGTAGTTGGTTTGAGGCTACTTTCTCCCGTCGTCGAGTTCCCATCAATTTGTAGCAGTAAATTTGTTCCTGATAGCCAACTTTTCTTTCCTTAGAGACAATTCTTGTCGTCACCGAATTGGTCCATGTTGGTAGCCTTGAAAGCTTTTTGAGGTGCAAGGGTGACGGAGGTAACGAATATGCGAATGTGCACTGTAAGCTGAATGACCGACAGCTGCTTAAAATTGCTCTACATGTGGCCTTGGGAATGAAACATTTAGAAGAGCAGAAGGTTAGCCGGATCTTTTCCTAGCGAAGCTCTTGATGAAAATTTAACTCAGTTATTTATTGTCCGATAATATTTGCACGATAGAGAATCGATGTGGTAACTTTTTTTTCAGTGCATTCACCGCGACCTTGCCGCGAGAAATGTTTTTATCGATCCAAACATGGTGGCAAAAGTCGGAGACTTTGGATTCGCTAGGGAAATCACAGACAATGGATTATGCATCAAGACCTCGTGCGTAAGTATTGTGCCACTAATTGTTACTTTTCTAACTACTTTTACTAAAACCGACTGAATTAAATTCTTTCCCTCTAAACCAGACAGACAAATGGCCCCATATATATCCTGCCACAATTGATTTCGGTTACCTTATTTATGATCTATGGTATAACTAACATTCAGTCAAACGGATGGAAAATCCTCAGATTGGCGTGGTGACTTGTTGGCTTGTTCATTCCAGTTTATACAAGTTAATGTTACAAGATCATGCACACCTCCCTTTTTCACAGGGTAAAGTTCCATGGAGATGGTCGTCTTTAGAATCACTGCGAGATCGAGTTTATACATCCAAGAGCGATGTGTAAGTGACACGAAAAGTAGTATACAAAGTTGTTATATCTCCGATGCAAACGTAGAGTATCTTGGAACGAAACCGTTTTGGGATTGTTCCAAGCCAGGCTTGATCGCATTGTCTGAAAAGCCATCGTCAAAAATATGTAGTGTTCGGTGAGAAAGCATGATAATTAATGACTCTCAGGCACTTTCAACTATAATTGTTGGATGTTATTGTTGTTTTTTTTTTCAGCTGTAAATTTTCAAATCGAATGGGAAGGATGGCAAGTTTTAAGCTCGTTAAAAAGTTCTGATCCCCATGAGGATTCGAACCTCAGTACTGGGGGACGACCCATGGGGAATTTTTTCTTTGTCCCATGCTCGTGATAAGACGAAAAACCTCTTTCTCTATTTTCTTAACATGTGCACCCTGAAACTAAAGGTTCTAGAAAATGAAAACCACTAAATAGCCACTTTTTAGATGTGGCCAATAATGCGTGAAAACGTATTCCTCATCTAATGCAGCAGCACAATACCCCCAGGAAAGGGTAAACTAGCCTGGTTTTACTACTAATTAATGACTCTAACGATGTTGTACAGGGATTTCATATACCAAAATTACAACAAATACAGAAAAGAAAGTGGTCAAGACAGACCAACCTTGAATGACTTAATTTTCCCGCAAAATGCATAAACAATCCGAAACTTCCATAATGCCACGTGAATCTCTTCAACTTGTTATCAGAATATTAATTTCAGACAAATTCGTTCCCATGTCAATCAAGCGTCAGCAAGTATATACTTAACTGAAAATGAGTCATCAATCGTTGCTTTTTGGCGTGTTTTTTTTTTCCTTTTTTCGCCCATTTGAAGGTGGTCGTTTGGCATATTACTTTGGGAAATGGTAACTTATGGTAGGTCATTAAATATTTGATGAAGTAGAAATGTCATTATAAAAGTGAATGCTGACGACGGGAAAAGAGTCGGGGATTCGTACAAATTCACATTGGTTCCAGAATTCCAAAATACTTTGTTTTATAGCCTGGGAGAGGTTTTTGAAGGGGGGAAAATTAGGCAATTTTTTTGGACATTCATTAAATAGTATGTCATTCCATAAGTCAATCACGCTGGATCAAAAGCATTATTTTAATAAGTTGAAATATTCTAGGAAAGACAATAATATTATCAAGTTTCATTTGCAATTTTGAGCTCACTGGCTATATGTCAACAGATGTATCAGAGGGATAGACAGCTTAAAGCCACATAATCAATTAAGCTCAAGCTACTGTTGTTAGTTATTTTGCTTAACAGGTGACTCACCATACCCTGACATCCCAACACCATTTGCCTTGGTAAGTCGGCTTTCTACGGGCTACCGGATGTCACGTCCTCATCAATGCTCGGAAGAACTGTAAGCTTTTCGATCATTTTCAAGCATGTGTATTTATGTGTTTACATTTATTCTATCAGTTAACAATTTTGACATTATTCAAGTAATTAAAACCATTTCACCCGGGCGAGGAATTAATAAAGGGTTTGTTTCTTCTTAGATTTGGAACTCCATCTAGTTTACATGTCGCTGTTCGATGCTCTGCAGTTTGGCTGTGTTAAGATTGTTTGAGTTGAATGAATAAATAGGTGCAAAAAAGTAATGAATACTGCAACGTATTTGTAGATATACGCTGATGAGATCTTGTTGGAACGATGAGACCTTCGTTTGCTGACATCGTAGATCAGCTGGAATACTTCTTGCGAGAAGTAAAGGTGAGTGAAATTGAATTTAGGTAATTCCTTAGCCCTTCCTTCCATTCTTTCCTATTTTTATCATTTAAGTAATTAAACTCATCACCAATAGATGAGTTTGGGAACTGATGCTTTAAAAGTTGGACGGGAGCCTAAACGCATCAGGCATAGCAAGGAGGTATCCTTGGCAAACCTGCGAACGGGAACCACCCCTGCATGCAGCCGCCAACTGAAAGAATTCAGTGGAAATACTCACCTGCACAGAAGGGGAGGGACGGGCTGGGAGCCAGTATCCACAAAGATTCACTTACGAGACAGATCCACAATGATCAGCCCAAAAAATGCCAGCGTGAGATGCAACTTAAGTCCCAAAATAACCAAAAGGCCCTTGCGGTCACTCCACAATCGCGCACGCTTGAGGAGGAGACCACTGACCACATTGGCTTGCAATTTCACTTTGTCTAAATTACATTTAGCCACATTATGTTGATTCGATTCGATAAGATTACATAATAAAATCTTTAATTGTTCAAATGAGTAGACTTGTATTAATGCAGAGAAGTCATACGAGATCAATGAAGCAGTGACAAATATTGAAACACTCTCCACTGTACAAACGGCTATAAATATATTTATGGCCAAATATGCTCTTAAAAGGAAGACGGACAACATAAGTAGAAGTATTACTCAGATAAAAGGTTGGTCAGATTATAATGGTTCAAACGGTGTATCACTGCCTGCCTAATTAGCAGTATCTCATGAGTTTTTTTATATCTCTTTTTCATCTACCGCCTTGTTACTATTTTTTTTACTATCTGCTGTTTTTATATGATTACAATTTTTTTTTCATTTCAAGCTTCACTCGTGCATCTAACCTGAAATATCTTCTTCTCTTTGATTAATCAATTTCAGAGGACATATATTAACATCACCGAGGATGAAATAAGTGGAAGATTTGAAGTGAACTAGAGCCAAAGCATACTTATGTAGAAAGCTTATGTTCATAGCCCGAGCAACATCAGTTAGTTCACAATTTAGGGAAATGCGTCCTACTATATAAAAACTAACCTCAGTTGTGTCACTTTCAGTTTGCTTCACTGTAACAATTTGATAAGCAAAAGCACTTAGAATCTTAGGATTTAGTCACAATCATATAATCATAGGATCTTTCGTCTTGTAGAATTTACAAACTACATTGTTAAAGAAAGATCTTACCCGTTTTGTTGAGAGATACAAGGAAGCAAATAAATACTGATTTCGCCAAAAAGGAACCAAGATCTAGCCCTCTGATTTTGTGTATAATTGAACTCATAACAGGGTAATTTTTATTAAAGTTCACATGGCAACCAGGTGGACAATCAGACATGGTTTGATGCTACTCTGGTTAACAGATTTAATGAATGTAACCGAAGAAGTTACAATTTATGGACCCAACGTTTCGACACTCCTGTCTAGTGCCTTCATCAGGGGTGATCTAAACGCTGCAACAAGAGGTCCTTTTCCATGATCGCTAATTAGCTGCCTTTTTTCTGACGAGGTGTAAATAGGTGTTAGGAAGCAAGCCGCCATCGTCACGATTTAAAGGAACGTGGGCGGAGTTAATAAGCCAAGCCTCCAAACAAAGGCGCTGGTGGTAACGCCGATTAGTGGTAATAATTTTAGAATTATCCCACCCAATTGTATGGTTGATTAGGCATGTGTGCTCCGATAAAGCTGAATTTTCCTTTTTGCAAAAGAAAACCGCTTTTTGATGCTCTTTCAAACGTGTACCAAACTGACGTTTGATCTGTCCGATGTATTCGTTATCACAGTCATTGCAAGGAATAGAATAAATGGTGTCGGTTCGTTGTTCTTTCTTGACAGGATCCTTAGGTTTGGCGAAAATATGCTCCAAAGTCTGAAAAGGTTTTTGAGCAACTTTCACGTTGTGGCTTTTCAAAATTCTCTCGAATCGAGACCGACCTATGCCACTTGAGTCTTACATCCAATATAATCACGGCAAAACTGACCAATTAGTATATATAAACCGGTCTTAGAAATTCGATTAAGAACAGCTATTCACTTGACTCTGATGATGACTTCCGCTTAGGTTTTCGAACGTCAGACACCACAACCGATAACAGTCCTTATTCGGACTACACTCACTCGGACGATCAGACTAAACTATCATAAGTTACTCCTGGGCTCAAACCCTTTACTGTAGAGCTTATAATACCTTATCATAAACTAGTTGTGACTAAAATACAGTGAATCATTCAGTCTGTTCTCGATTAGTGCCCGCCTTTCACCGGTTATGTTTTGGTTAAAGAAGACTTCCGCCTTTCTTGAAAAATTTCACAAAAGCGCTCAAAACCTACATCAGTACAGATAAGCATAATTTCGTATGAGTACATATTTCCTCCTCATAGTTAAATGCTGTAATTTAACAATCTACACAACAGATTCCAGGTTTCCTTGTGTCAAATTTTCATATGTCCGCTGTGTACAACGTGAAAAAGATTCGAAATGTTCCTCCGACTGCCAGAATACAAAAATTTTCAGTGCGTATGGCAGTATGGTAACGTTAAAATAGCAAGTATGTGGTATTTTGGCTACGGAAATTCCATTTGGAGACGCTTTGCGATTTGGAAGAGTAAGAAAAAATGAAGGACATATTATGCACAAACCAATAAGATATGTTCGTAGACAAGACGAGGTTTCGAAGCTCAATTGGTGTGGCTGAGTGGTTCCATAACCTCTGCGCACTTCGATTCGACATACTTCGCTTATCCAGCGAGTTACACAAGAATCAACTAGTACACTGCAAACACATTTATTGTCATCTTTTTTTTTACACGATCTCATACATTTTACATAAATTATTTTCTTGGGCAATCCGGCTTGATCTTCATTTCAGCTTTGATGATGAGCGTATTTGGGTGTTTATTCCACTTAGTCCATCTCATACCACTCGTTTGGTGGTAATTACCGTTGAGGTTCGAGTGACCACAGTGCCCCAAACCTTTTGAAAACCACCAAGCGCCAAATTCTTTAGTACAGTTTGTGTCGTCTTTATCTACTGTTGAAAATTGGGCGTGGTTATTGCCAACAAAAGAATCGTTGACATCTCCTTCAAATAGAGAGAAAGAACAAATATATGATAAAAGTTATTTAATATTATAGTAATCATTTATAGAATGCTATTCTCGTGTTCAAAAGCGCTGTCTAGAGTGTGCATATAAAATAAAATGATAAAACTTAAGACAGAATTTACAAACTCGTTACTATATTAATTACTATAAACGATTGGTATAGGCCTGTCGAAATAGGTACGTCTTCCACTGTCTAATTTTTTTTAAAATCTTAAGTCTCCCATAGTCGTATATCCTTGAGGATCTAAATAATGATCCGTATTGGCTTTCTTAATGTGGCATACAGGGGCTTCAGGATAACTTGTGGTAAGTGAACATCCGAAAAAAAAAACATTGGCTGTCTACCTAAGGTAAGTTGCGAATTGCGCATTTACTTTCCAATCTGCTACGTATGTATGAGCAATTAAGGCTTAATCAAGGCCTTATTCTAGTGTCCGTGTCCGCTGAATAGAACTTATCAATATCGTACGTACCAAGTTCATCTTAATCATCAATTCGACTATCAGATCACTTTCAAGCAATGGATATTTCCTCGCCTCAAAGTTTAGTTGATTTATTGATTTGTTACTTTAAACGCTACTTCAGTCCACGAATCATAATAATTATGAGCTACCACAAAAAATTATATTTTGAAGTTACTCCAATGATCACACCGTTCAAAATTTAATAAGGGTAATTTTCGATGTAAAACATCTAGCTGATGAACTGATTTGCTAATCCGCTTTATACTTATCATAGTAATCATGACTTAGCAAATAACTTACCTGAAAACATCCCACCAATAATCAAGGAATAATTTTTCAATTCTGATTCAACTGCGAATAAGTCATACTCGGCGTAAGGACGATAAATTTCCTGATTTCGTCTAAATTCCAGATCTACTCGTAGCTTGTTCTTTGTTCTCCAAGTAAGGCGGTTTATCTTGTCCAGACCCAACCAATGCTCGCCATACTTGTTACCAAAGCCATGCTTGTAGTCGCACCAAGTACGATTAAAATCGACAGATCCGTCCAGTCTCCTCTGGATCACTGTCCATCCTCCACCAGCCGTGTTCTGATTACAGTACACTTCAAAGGCACCTAAACCATCAGGATCAATCTTATAGAAACCGCTGGCTGTATTACCATCCATATAAAGCTCAGCGCAATTAGCTGTTGAATAAAAGATTCGGGTGATAAGTTAAACTGAAAAAACAATAAGAAAAATGACCAAGTTAAAGTTGATTTTAATCCAGGCAAAAAGCAGATGTTACGCTTAAGAAACAAAAACGCAGTCACTCGAAAATTAATGACGAGAATGATGATAAGACAAGAAATGAAAGAAAAAACGAAGTTCAAACACGTTAAATCCTTATTACATGGTTGTACAGAAGGTCTACTCAGCTGAACACAAGAGAATGGACACCATAACGTCAACCTGGCTTACTGTAGCTCAAAATAAAAAAAATTCTGTATGGGAAAAGAATAACCTGGCACAAACCTTTAAATGATGTGACGGGATGAACCAAAATCTGACTATCAGAAACCAACGCGATGAACAAAAAGATTCGGAAAGAACATGGGAAAACACGAGACATTGTACGAAAGTTAAATTCAACTTAAACTTGAACTTCTTAAAGAAGCGAGAATGCTAAGTTATAAGCTAGAACTGCTGCAGCCAACTGAATTTATACTCCCCGATGGTAGCCTTATAAAAAGAACATATTTCAGTTCAGAGCTAACCACCTATTTTCGTAGCACGGAACAATTCTTTAAATTTAAATAGTGTCTAACTTAGAAGTCCAAGGATGATTTAACAGAAACGTCCTGCGGAGCCCAAAAGGAAGGAATGAAACATGAAACCAGCCCACGCCTTTAATCTTCCCTATTTACAACAATTAATGCAAGAAATTAACATTTTTCTTCTTAAATTCATAACTGTTTCGTTTTTAAACATAAATACATATAAAAGGAAAAAAAAATACAAATTGTTATGTTTCAGTTCAACTTATTAAATAGTTTTTCAGCCTTGAAAGAATTTGGCGCATTTTCATGCACTTTCAATGTAATGAGACATCCATCCTTGAAAGTTTAAGTCAGAGGTTTTAAAAAAGCGTGTTGTACGAAGCCTGCTAGGCCAGGTTTGCCCATTGTCCTTCAATGTAAAGCGAGTTTTCTTTAATATTTTCCCCTTCATAGGTAATGAATCGAAGGAAAGAAGAAGTTAAGTTCATCCGCTACACTTAGTATCAGGGTCAACAATGCAACGGAATATATGCGTTCACATTCTTCATAAATTTAACCAAATTCTGTTATCGCATTTTTTTTTCATAGTTATGATGATGATGATGATGATGATGGTGTTAATTATTTGAACTTAAAATTCCCTTTACTTAAATTTACTGAGGTTGATCGCTTCCAAATGCTATTGTTGTTTTGTTTTTCTCAAGGGGTTAGTTATTTGGTTTTGACGATACCTATGTTCAAAATAGTGGGACGAGAACTTCAACTTTGGAAAGAAAAAAAGGAAGTGAAACATGTCAGGGCCCAATGTGAAGCGCAAGCAGCTCCTAAGGTTGAGTCTTAGTAGGTGAGCACTTCGTGCTTAAGGGAGGCGACAGTTGATTCAAGGAAGTAAAACACATCCTTTCCTGTTTGATTAGTCAGTTTTACGATAAACTTCAAATTTAAGTACACAAAGCGTTCTCAAGAACTGATCATTCCGCAAAAAGTTGTAATGCGTGGGTTGAGCAAAGCGGAAATCACGATGCTTTTTTCTCGTTTTTGTCATCGACGAGATTAGGCTTTAATAAACAGCGCTTCTATGATTTTTGTAAGAACTCTCCCTGATGGGAACTGAGTTTTTCACACACTTTTGCATGGATCAGAACTTCTAGAAAACGGGAAAACAGTTATAACACACAATAAATAACTATTTATCCTTTACATCTAAATAAGCTCATGTAAATCAGGGAAAGGTAAATGATTCATTTCAAACGAAAAACTATTGAATGAATGATGAATTAAATCAAATCGAATCAAACATTTTTTAGAATCCAAAATCAAATTAGAAAGAATACAAAGATATGTTTATATATATATATATATATATATATGTATGTATAACATATTTTAATGCATAATAGCATGTATTTGGGCGCATAAATCTAGCGATTTCGAAAGGGCTGTAATTAAGTGGCAATTGATCTTCCTGTCGAACCATTTTGGTGTAAAATCTTATGCCTGATTTAAAATTGCATCCCAACCATTATAGATCAAGTTATTACATTCGGTAAGGTATGGTAATAATTACGTTTACAAGTGTTTGAGAACAAGTTTGTATCCATTCGATTTCTGCTTCGAAAGTCTTTGAATTTAGCGGTTAATAGAATACATTTGTCTTTGTTTCACAGATTAACACAATGTTCTCTCCATTAAGGACGGTGTCTGCTTTTACCACTTTGCACACGGGCTGCGCATCACGCCAAGGTCGTTCGTGCTCGCGCATGGGTGGAAAAACACGTCTCCCGCCGTGATCATTACGTATCTATTTCGACAGGCCTATGGTAATTAATTTTATGGTAATTTATTGTATTTCAATATTTAGAATAAGAACCTATAATTTTAAGCCAGTGATGAGCTTATAAATTCTGTCTTGGGTTTTATTTTATTTAAAACGCACACTCTGATAAGCGCTTTTGAACATTTATGAGAAAAGCGTTCTATAAATGATTATATCAAATCACTTTGATCATATATTTGTTCTTTCTCTCTCTCTCTCTCTCTGAAGGAGATGCCAACGATTTTTTTGATAGCAATAACCACCCCTCTTTTCAAAAATAGATAAAGACGACCCAGAGTTTACTAGAAGATTTGGCACTTGGTGGTATTCAAAAGATTTAGATGGCTGTGGAAATTCGAACCTCAACGACAATTACCAATAAAAGAATGGTTTAAGATGGGATTACTGGGGTAAAGTCCCTGCGGCATCCATTACCAAAGCTGAAATGAAGATCAAGTCGGATTGCCCAGGAGAATAATTCGTGTAAAATGTACGATATCGTGTAAAAATAGTTGAAAATAAAATGTGTTTGCAGTTTCACGGGACGAAATCTCACGTTTCCGCATTTCTTAAATATGACAGAGGCATAGAGCTTCATGTTTCCGCTGCATTTGCGTTTTGCGGAAACGTGTTATGCCAAGTCTTGGCGATTCGATTAATTTTCCGTCAAGTTTTCGGAACGGAAATGTCAAGTCATGTTTCCGTCATATTTAAGTCAGGACGTTTCCGCTGTTGTTCCTTTCCGTTACGTTTCTGCAAAAGGATTTTTAATATCCTTGTTTAATCTTTGCAACGAAAACAAACCGATCATGGTTTTGTGCATGGTTTTTACTATTTTTTTACAAGGCAAGCAGTGGTACACCGTTTGAACCATGATAATTTGACCTACCTTTTATCTCAGCAATGCTTTTACTTGTGTTATCTTCCTTCTGAAAGCAATTTAGATATAAATGATATAGTTCGCCATTTGTACAATGGAAAGTGTTTCAATATTTGTCGCCGCTTCCGTTGATCTCAAATGACTCCTCTCAAATTAATGCAAAGTCTACTCATTTTAACGATTTGATTTTTTTTATATAATCAAACGAAATCAAATTAATGTATTGCTTAATTGATAAAAATCGGAAAGAGTGGAAGGAAGGGCTAAGGAATTGCCTAAATTCAATTTCACTCACCTTTACTTCTCGCAAGAAGTATCCCAGCTGATCTGCGATGTCAGCAAACGAAGGTCTCATCAAAGGATCCTCGTTCCAACAAGATCTCATCAGCGTATATCTACAAATATATTGCAGTATTTATTTATTTTTTGAACCTATTTATTCATTTAAATCCCTCAATCTAAATACAGGGAAACTGCAGAGCTCTAACAGGGCGATGTAAACTGGGTGGAGTTCCAAATCTGACGAGAGACAAAACCTTAACTAATAATCCTCTCCTGGATAAAATGCTTCGAATTACTTAAATAATGTCGAAATTGTTAACTGATAGAATAAATTTAAGCATGTAAAAACACATACTTGAAAATGATCGAGAAGCTTACGGTTCTTCCGAGCATTGATGAGGACGTGACATCCGGTAGCCTGTAGAAAGCCGACTTATCAAAGCAAGTGGTGTTGGGAATGTCAGGGTATGGTGAGTCACCTGTCAAGCAAAATAACAAAGAAGAGAGTTTGCTTAACAATAGTAACTTGACCTTAACTGATCATATAGTTAAAGCTGTCTATCCCTCTAACACATCTGTTGACATATAGCTTGTGAGCTCAAAATTGCAAAGGAAACCTGATAATGCTGTTCCTAGAATCTTTCAACTTATTAAAGTAACCCCCCTCTATGCCAAACGACCACCTACTCATGGGCGATAAAAAAAAAAAAAATACGCTGATAGCCAAAAAGCAATGATTGATGACTTGCTTTCAGTTAAGCATACATGTACTTGCTGAGGTTTGATTGACATGGGAAAAAATTAGTCCGAAATTATCATTCTGATCGCACGTTGAAGAGGTTCGCGTGGTATCATGGAATTTCGGATTATTTAAGCGTTTCGCGGGAAAACTAGGTCATTCTAGGTCGGTCAGTCTTGACCACTTTCTTTTTGGTATTTTTTGTAGTTTTGGTTTTCCAACTCCCTGTACAAGATCATTACAATCATTGATTTTTCTTTGTTATTAGTAGAGCAACCAGGTTAGTTTACACTTTCCTCGAGGTATTGTGCTGCTGCATCAGATGAGGAATACGTTTCACATTTTTTTGGCCACATCTATAAAGTGATTTTTATGTGGTTTTCCGTATCTAGCGTAGCACGGGTTCATTTCTAGAACCATTAGTTTTAGGGTACACATGTTATGATTGTATCAGGATGCGTAAGCTAGAAGACTGACTGACTTATTCTAAATCAACTTTTCACATTGAATATCTCGTGCACTAAGACTTCAACACGGACAACGTGTGTAATTAATTAAGAATTCCGGTTTAATCGACACACGTGCAATGGGGCGCTAGAATTACCCAGGGACACTGGACACCATTAAGTATCCTAGCGACTGATTACTGATTCATCAAAACAAGTTGACCGGCGTTATCGATCGCAAACCTGTTTTGATTGCATGACCTAACCGCAAGGTTGACTGAAAACGTTATGGCGCTTCCACAAACTGTGGGCTTCAAAGCTGAAGTAGTCGATGAAGAAGGAGTTTGGTGTGCGTTCACTGTTGACGAAGTAGACGATGATTACGTGATCGTTTCCTTTGACGGCTGGAATGCGGATTGGAATCGCCGCGTTTGTGATCCACGAGAGATCAGGGATCGAACATTGCCTAATCGGAAAAAAAAGCGAAGAAACTTTTCCCTTCAGTGAACAATGTCTTCGCTTTAAGAAGACCAACTTTTACTTTTAAATATCACCTAAACTTATGTAAACAAAAAGCTCAAATTACGGTTCACTTCAATTTCAGGCGTGAATTTGCATAATCTTTCATGGACGAAATCTTTTTTAATTTCAAAGATCACAACCATTTTCTAAACTACATCTGCTTTATC